TGTGCTCCCCCTTTTGTTACAGAATTTTTCGTATTACTATTGCTTAATTTTTTTTTTCTCATTCGGTCAATCAAGGCCATTCGTGATAACCAAATAACGATTATATTGATTTTTATTCTATAGATTAGCTGTTTCGAATTAGTAAAACAATGGTAAATTGTAAAATTGAATTCTAGTCGAAGAAACTTTCGTTAAGAAATAAAATTTTAAGTGACCGAGACGGTCAATTCCAAACCCGGAGAGTGGTTAATTAAATCAAGTTAACATTATTATTATTGAAATTGTTATCAGTTTAATCAATTGAACATTACACAGAGAAAAATCGTACTAGATTTAGTACGCATTCTGCTTTAAAGTGTCAAATTACAACAACAAATCTGACATTCTCAACAAATGTTGTTTTTTCTTCTATTCAATATACGCAGTACTGTGAAGTGTCAATTTGAATGGAATGCGCATATACAACGTGATTTAGATCGTCAAGATGAAGCAAACAAAGCCAAATTTTTTCCCAATAAATCGATCAAAAATAAATTTCAATCAATTAAATAAATATTTTGAGAAATGTTTGAAAAATATTTTGGAATTGGACATAACTATATCACAACGAGACCAAATCGTAAAACTATCTATGCATTGAAATGTTGTCAGAAGTAAATACTTGTTACAAAAGTGCCATAAGAGTTTGTGAAAATGTTTATTTACATGCGGCAAATCACCTTCAAAGCATTGATTCCTGACATAAACGAGACAAAATGATGAAAGAATCCAAATTTTATGTTCAACCTGCAGCCATGTCCAGCGGTTTTGAATTTGTTACTAAAATTGATAAAAATCCCAGCCAACCGATTCGATCTACAGTTTAACGAACCTTCCAGTATGTCTCAATAATCAAAACATTAACTGCTTTGTTTGGCAACGAGGAGTTCGAACAAATGTACGTAAATTTCAATACCACCAGTGATCATCAATGCGAAGAAGGTTTATATAAGCGGTTCTGTTGCGGAGATGTATACAAAAAGAGTGATTTTTTCGAAGCAAACCCAATGGCAGTGCAATTAAAATTGTTTACCGATGATGTTGAGCCTTGCAGTGCATTGAAATCAAAAGCTGGAAAGCACAAGGTCTGTGCATTTTATCTACAAATCGACAACTTGCCCCCGAAATACTTATCCAAAGTAAATTCAATCTATTTGGTAGCGCTCTGCGATTCATCCGATTCAAAAGGTGAATATACCAACGCTGATAATGTCGTGGAAACCATAGTCAAAGATATTAAAGAGCTTGAAACAAAAGGAATTGAAACGAATAGTGGACTGAATCTAAAAGGAACATTAATTTGTGGGATGTATGATAATCTGGGTGGAAATATCATTCTCGGTTTGTACGCAAGCTTCAACTCAAATAACTATTGCCGGATTTGCATTGCTTCAAAACAAGTGTGTCAGTCGATGACAAAAGAGGATCCTAATTTGATTCGAACTCAGAAAAACTACGAAGAGTGCTTAGCAGTGGTGGGATCAAAATCGAAAGTCAAAGATACAAAAGGCATCAAAAGTTACTGTTGTCTGAACGATCTCAACCAATTTCACATCATGAAAAATATCACCGTAGATTTTATGCATGACATTTTGGAAGGTCTGATTGGATTCACCGTGGAAAATATTTTCAATTTGTGTGTCACTAGCAAAATAGCAACGATGGATCAAATTCAAGGATTAATTGATTGTTATTACTTCGGAGAATTGGATAAATCTAATAAGCCATTGAAAATAAATCTTGAGAAGAAAAACCTTGGACAGAACGCGTCGCAGGCTTACTGTTTGTTTACGAATCTCCCATTCATTTTGTTCAAGTTCCGAGAACAATTACATGAAATTTGGAAGCCAGTTGAGCTGCTGTTGCAAATACTACAAATTGTTTCTTCATATTCAATCACTGATAAGGATATCGAGCGACTTGAAACTTTAATTCACTCGTATTTGGAAGCCTACAAAACAATATTTAATGAGCATTTGCGGCCGAAGCATCATTTTCTGCTGCACTACGTGCGAGTAATTCGTTCAATGGGTCCGGTCGTCTGGTTTTGGGTGATGCGAATTGAATCAAAACATCAGTTTTTCAAGCAAGTGGCACAAAAAACCAAAAACTACATCAATTTAAAGAAGACTATGGCAGAACAACATCAAGCAAAAGTTTTTTTAGCCGGTTTTGTTTACAAAGATGAATTTATTGTTGGAAAAAAGAAGCTACCAATGGGAAGCTGGAGCGATTACGAAAAATACGAAGACGCTGTGGGTCAAGTGTTCACAGCTGATATGATTGAAGAGGCCCAAATTGTCAACTCATTGCAAATTAACAACACCAAGTACAAATCGAACTATCTCATTGAGCACGATAATATGTTTTGTGAAATCGATTACATTGTCATACATAAAAATAGTTATTGGTTTATATGTTCTACTTCTTACAAAGTCAAAAAAATTGATCCTTTTTTAAACAGTTTTCTGCTCGAAAAATGTGAAAAATTCCAAATAATTCAATTGAAAGATAGTAAAGTATACGAAAAAAAGCATTTGAACTGTGAAACATACGTCATTGTCGATAACTTGGACTTATATCATTTGCACAAATAAATTATGTAACAAAAAGACATCGAATTTAGTAATTTTCTTCTTTCAGTTCAATCAGATATGGAATTCAATATCAAAGGTTTGTTCATTTAAATTCAGAAAAAAATCAAATACTGCGATAAACACTCTTTTTTCAGCAAACAAAATCTACAAATAAATAGACTGAAACTTTGTTTCATTGAAAAGAGAGCTATTTTATTTCAAAAACATTTCTAACAAACAGTCCATTTTCTCTTTGGCACATCTAGTGTGCTTATATATTTTCATTTAGTTTTCTTTCGATATTTATATATATATTTGCGCTATAAAAATTAAATAAGTAAAGAACACTTTCATCACATAAATTCTGACTTGACTATAACTTTAGCCTTTCGGCGAGATCATACATTTTTTTGTTCACGGTGGCATCGCCATTTGTGTTCTGGAAAACAAAGTAATCAATAAACATCATCATATTTTTGATATGTGCGTGATAGTTAATGTGAAACACTTTATGACACTTGAAAAAGATGTCAAACACATGCAGAAAAGAAAATTCCGTCGGAATCTGCAAACAGAAGAACAACCATTTTAGTTGAATTATAAGGTATTTGAAATAAAAAAAAAAGACTAACCGGGATCATATGCTTCTCGAGGCTGACATAGTAATGCGAAATCGATTGTTTATCTTTACCAAATGCCAAGAGGCATGGATGTGAAGGATGAATCTTGTCATTGTTTTCTGGCTTGTCATTCATGTTCTGAGGATAAAAAGTGCATTCGGATGCATTAGTTCAGTTTTACAATTCGATGTTTATTTCGTTTTTTCAACAAAAAAAACTTACGTTAGTAAAAATGATAAATGCGTCGACTTTCTCTTCGAATTTTGGTTTTGCGCTGAGAAGCTTCAGGATTGCGATGAAAAACCCAGTTTCTTTGTCAAAATACTTCGAACATTCATCTCTTTCGGTGAGTGTCAATTCAAGCGGTACAAGCGATTTTAGTTCTTCCCATTTGTCAATCAAGGCGCTTGAATTCAAATCAGGACTCCGAATTTCAAAGTCGAACAAAATCAGTGTTGGCTCAACGAAGTAAAATGGAAACAATTGATGAAATATCGTTCCTTTCTTTCTAATCAGAGCCTCGCGCAATTTGATTGTTCGTCGCAATTTATTTTTCAATTCACCCATGTCACGATTCAGAATGCAAGTGCGGAAAAAAAGCATCGCTTCTTTTTCTTCATCTTCTGTCATTGGCTCCAGTTGCCCAATTTCTTCATTATCGTCCGACAGATTCAAATTTTCCATTTCAACGTTCAAATTTGGATTGCGATACTTTTTGTAGGAAATTTTATTCCAGACCAAACCCCTTCTGTTCTTCGAATCATACAAAACATCCTACAACGAACAATATTGAAACATGAAATTGGATTTTTCATAAATTGTTTCAGAAATGTAACCAAATCAAACTCACAATTCCACCAATTGTGGTTAACAATTCAATTGCAGACTCACACACAATTTGGACTTCATCTTTTGTTGGACTTGTGTATTTGTACTCGAGAAATGACACTAACTTCTTTGCCAACTCTTTGACAGACCTCGAACAAATTCTCTCCTTAGCTTCTCCTTGCTGTTTCTTTACATTTTTTTGCACATTCGATAGCTCTTCATCAAAAATTGTTGCGCACCCATTCTCCATCAGATAAAATTTCAGTTCCTTTTCGACGAGAAAAAAAGAAAGAGATAAAGCATTTTATTCAACTAGAAGGAACAGCTCGTACATTACCTGTGTCAACAATGAACTGCAGCCGTCACTGCACACGCTCAATCGAATCATGAAGCTATTGCTTGTTTTAAATTGGTTCACTATAGTCGCAAAATTTTCCGGAGTAATTGGTGCTCCATCCCTATCCCACATACAAACTCCAGCCAATTCTTCTGACGAGAGGTCGAATTCAGTTAATGCTTTAAGACAAAATTGAACAAAGATTTAGGTTATGTTCAATTATTTTCAACACATTTATCAAAAATCTTACCTTTTTTAACATATTTATCCAAATCCAATAAATCATTTTCGTCGAGCATCACAAATTTAATATCATTGAACACTTTTGTCTTGATTGCGAAACACATTCTGGTTATTTTTTACATTTTCGTTCAGTCGTTTACCGGCTTTTTGTTGTGCGTATATTGAATAGAAGAAAACACAACATTTGTTGCGAATGTCAGATTTGTTGTTGTATTTTGACACTTCAGAACAAAATGCGTACTAAATCTAGTACGATTTTTGTCTGTGTATGTTAAAGATTTAATTGCAATTATTTCCGATTGCATTTTATTGTCATTGAAAATTCAGTTCCATTGCTCATTAAGCTCCAGTTATTGTATTACATTCCGATTTTCTCATTGCACATTGTATTAACCATAAGCATTAATTGAAATTAATTAATTATGATCGGGACGATCAATTCAAAAAAACCAGTCGAGCTGTAATAGCCTTAGTATAAGTATAGAGTCGCCTTAATAGTCCTTTCAGTATTCCATAGTAGCTGTGTGTCGTTCACAGTGTAGAACGACACACGAACTGACATAACGTGACATTGCATAGTCGTGCGGCATTCAGTCGCTAGCAGCAGAACCGAACACACTTAATAAAGATCTCATTGAACAATAAATACCGCTGTACACTTACTACATTATAAATATATAGTAAGTCTGTTAGTTTATTTTACTGGATAAACTACTCCTCGGAACGAACCGAAATAAATGATGACCGGCTGTTCTTATTATATCAAAACGTTAGCATTCTATATACAATTTTGTATATGCAAATTCTCTTATGGAACAAATCGGTTTCGATTTATTAATGATTGATGATTGATGATTGACGCAGACAATATGGAACAGATTACTTCTTGACTTAATTTTTTACTTAATTTTTAACTTCATGGTAAACGTCGAAAATCTCAAGCTGATCTGCTAATATAATTATTCAACGAAATGGAAAAGACTTCAATTACGTTTTTTCATTAAAAATGAAGTAAATTTCCCTTTGTCTTGAATGAAATGATTCGGAAACCCCGTAAATTAGAAATGAACCCCGGAAATTGGAAATTTTCCATACAAATTTTCAAACCTGAATTTCATTTCTAATTTCTGAGGTTTTCTAATTCTCGGGTTTCTAATTTGCGGGGGCGTACTGTAAAATAAAAATAAAATAAAATAGAGCAAGTTGAAAAATTCACTTCAATCCGACCTATTTTTCGACCATGAAATGGCCTCAGATCACATTGTGACCACTTTTAATCGATTGCTCGTTTAAAATTGAGCGGATATGTCTTTCGTGAGCCTTTTTCAGCCAGTAGATGCGTATTCTTGGCAGCAATTTCATCGTAGAATGCGACTCTTTGTACAAATTCCGTTCATTGATGAATTGCCTATGCCCAGAACTTCGAAATACGAATTTTCCCGGATATGTGGCATATGCCATTTTGTTGGTATGTTGGCCGGCTACAAACGCTCAGTTTTTGGTAAAGGATTGTCGGGCTGATTTTTGAGAAATCGCGTTTGGTGTGAAATTTAAGGGGGTCGATTTTTCATAAAAATCGACTTCTTTCTTTTTTATCAAATAAAAATTGGCATGTTTGTATGGAATTTTTTGAAGGTCTTCTCAAATAATTACGAGCTGACTTTGCCTGATGGGTGTCTGAGTTGATCTAGTATGCGAAATAAATACTTGAAAAAATCGTATACATGCAGGCTAGCGAAGCCATAGCCAGCTCTCCTGTAATGCAAATGTCAATCTGAGGACGTGTTTCGATGTGGCCGACACCAACTGCAGCTTAGGCATATCGGCACCGGAATCTGTGGGGTCAAAAAAGTTTCCGGACACACGGACGGACGCACAAATCAATACTTTCATAAAAAATCAAGATCAAACTGCCAATGCCCATAACTTTTTCGTTTTTGGACCAATCGGGGCACTTTAACCGGCGTTGGAAAGGTGGCGAGGAGGAGCTTCTCTTGGACACTCACAGACCACCCCCTGGGTACCCCCTTCGTAAGATATGGGTATAGATTTGAAAATTTATCGAAATATTCCAACCGCTATATTTTTGCCTAGACCACACTTTAGGCATGGGGGATATGGTGTTTCCGACTATTTGGGCCAAGACCTTTCCAACGGTACCTAACATGCCGGGGCCCAAATAGTGCCCTGAGAAAATAGCATATTTACTGTATATATACAGTCACTCACAAAATTGTCTGTATACCTCACGATTTTCATACAAATTGGCGTTTTTCGTGTCTCAAAAAATTATGCTTCGCGAATTCGAACCTCGAAGATTTTTGGTATACTGTAGGTGGAAGCTTATAAAAGCATTTGCTTTTATAAACCTTTTAAAATGCTTTTATAGACAAATTTCGGAAATAATAAAAGTTTCAGTTTTTATAACGCATTTGTAACGCTTTTATAGTCATTATTATAAATGTGTCTCTCATTCCCTTTTTATAACACTTTTATAAATGCTTTTATAATTCTGCTTATAAAAGCACTTTTATAAGACTTTTTAAACACTTTCATAATATCATTTATAAAAGAGTCTGAGGTGAACTTTTATAACCCTTTTATAATACTTTTATAAACAGCGTAATAAAAGTCAGACTTTTAAAGCACTTTTATAAGCTGAGTTATGAAAGTGATTTAGAACAACATTTATATTGAATTAAAAAAGTATTATAAAAGTGTTATGAAAGTTTCTGCATACCAACTTTTATAATCCATTATAAAAGTGCACTCACAGCCTTATAAAAGTATATTTTTATAATACTTTTATAAGGAACATGTATAAAACCATTTTAAAACTACTTTACATCTTTTTTGACACGACCAAAGGTAATGTCATCAAATTTTTCAGTTTTATAGAGAGAGTCGCAATTAAAAGAAGCGTCAAAAATGTTTCCGAAGAAAAATCCTATTGATGAGTACAAAAAGCTAACAAGATCTGGAAATTATAGAAG